ACACACACACACACACACACACACACACACACACACACACACACACACACACACACACACACTCACATATGTATTATATATAAATGTTTGAACAAGTTTATAAATACCTGCGCTTTTTTTACTAGAGACGATGGCAAGCTCCTCAGAGGGAGACACCGTCAAGCCGACGAACACGAACAAATCAACGACGACTGGAATCAACATTCTCACATCCAAGGAGGGTGCGAGAAAACGACGACGCTTGGAATCTCTGACAACGAATTCGGAGATCCCTGAGAAAACGCAGCGACGCGACGAGTCATGCAACTTCTATGCGTAAGAATATTATTTGCAATACAGAATTTCACATGTAATATATATCTACCATTAATTATCAGTATATTAAAAAATGCATCAACGACATGTAATTAAAAAAATATTTATTGAAATAAAAAAAGTTTTAATTATATATACAAAAAAGAAAAAAGTATCATACAAATATTTTCAAAATTTTTAACGCTTTAGTGAAATAAAAATATTCTTTGAATCAAAGAAAATGTTTAAAAGAAATAATTTAAACTGTAAAAAAGAAGAGATAAGTTATAGCCATAATAAATATAGAAATACGTACGTAACAAATTTAAGATTTCTTTTTATAAACTTAAAAGTACTCTCGTAAATAGTGAAGCAAAAAATATCTATACTACTATAATTATTACTATAATATCGTATCCTGTATTTAATTGGATTTTATGATTCCAAAAATGTGAGGTCAGTCAATCAGAGAATATTATTTGAAATTAATTACATATTCTAACACATAATGCATTTTCACCCTCAGCGAAACAAGGACTCAGCACATAGAAGACAAAAAAGACTCGTCACAGCCACGCCTGAAAAAAAAGGATCAAACTATTCCAATAAATTCACAAGATGTTCGAATGTCACAATCTTGCGAAACAGGCGTGAGACAAAATGATGCGACTAGATTAAGGAAAACGATACAATGGCTTGAGGAAGGTGCGCGAAGGTTACGCGAGGATCTGGCGAATGTGCGAACCGAATTACATGAAGAACGAAGGGCTGCAAAAATTGCCAAGAGAGAGTTTGAAACTGCTCTCAGAGAAGCCAGATTTGCTGAGGCTGCCAAATATCAATCAATCATAACCGAATTAAAAACCAGGTAAAATATAAATATTTTTACCTACACTGAAAAAAAATATAGTCAATTTTAATAAATATTTAGTTAAACTACTGCCAACTAAATATTTATTAAATATAAAGATATATTTATTTGATACAAGAAATGTTAATTCGATTTAATCATTTTTTTTATTGAACTTTTGAAAATATTTACTTATTGTAAATAAATGTTTAGTTGGCAGTATTGAACTAAATATTTATTAAAATTAACTTTTAATTTTTTTCTCAGTGTGAAGCTTATCATGATTCAATCTTTTTTATTTCTCTCTAACAATTTCGGTTCTCAAGTCTAAAAATTCATAGTAGTCTAAAAATTCATTTGTAATTTTTGAACTTGAATTTGAAGACTGTCAAATAATTGGTGTTATTAAAAAAAGTACCGAAGGTAATATTTTCTGTCAGAATCGTTCAATCTGCGTCGCCATCGCCGTCACCGTCGCCGCCATTCAAATCGGATCCCGTGAAAGATGAGAGTCACAAGCGTGAATTATCAACCCTCAGAAAACGCTTAGTTGAAGCTGAGGGCACGATACGAAGACTCGAACAATTGGTGAAATCACAAGCGAGCACTACTCGCAGTACCAATAATACTTCTTCCTACGGTGATGCGCGCCGTCTGGAAGTGGAAATACGAAATTTACGTGCAGAAAACGAGAAACTCGAAGAGAAATTGCGTGTAAGAGCCAATCCTTTAATCTTTTAAATTTGCAGGATTTAAACTTTAGAAGGACTTTGAAATTAACTTAGATTAAGTGAT